CATGCAGACACCCAAACACACACACACACACAAACACACACACCTGAGTTCCATATATGTGTTCATGCAGACACCCAAACACACACACACACACACACACAAAGAGAAAGAGAGAGAGAGAGAGAGAGAGAGAGAGAGAGAGAGAGAGAGAGAAATACTACAAAAATATCACCAAAACCTAGAACTAAAAAAGAATTCAGAAAATTTATTTCAATCCCTGCATGTTATAGGTTAAAGCCCACCCTGCCACCCTGTTGGAGCTGTGCAGCCTAGTCTTGGATGAGGATAAGGCTACCTGCCCAATTGGTCTCCTCAGGGCAAGGTACCTGTATAAACGGGCACTACTTGGCAAGAACCAGTGGTCCACAGGACAGCAAAGGAATTTGCAAAATTTGTGCAGCTTGCAGGCTCTTTTCTCTATCAATATATTGGTGATTCTTTGGGTGGTTTTTAGTTTTACTTTGTCAGTCACACATGTAATAGCTGTAATTTTCCCTGGAAAATTTGCTCTTTCTAGAATATTTTTCCCTAAGATTCAATAGGGGGCTATGCTTCTTAAATCTCTTATCTGGAATTACTAACTATAACTCCTAACCCTGGGAAGTTTTCTGACTCAATAGTGATAGTTTGGTACATGTAAGAAAATAATACTTGGAACATTAAGTATGTCTCACAGTTCTGAAAGGAGAGTAAGGCATGCATACACAGACTAGAGAGAAAGTATCAGGAATATACATAGTACCAACTGTTAAGTTCCCCGGACACCAAGCATAGATTCATTGGTAGGATCTGGTAGGATCCCAGAGTAAAAAATGCAAAATGTGGGATGGATAGATCCATCTTTACCATACATAGGAGCTAATATTGGTGGAGAAGTATGGTATAGTGAGATGGGAAAAAAGTGCTTTGTCAAAGTCTGTCTTTCACAGAGCGATTGAGACATGGGATCCTCTTGTAGAAAAGGGAACTGTAGAGAAATATATCTTGCAGACATGAAAGAATTCTCTGGGTTTGAATATTGTTGTCCTTAAAGCACTGCGCCTAGGTTTATTACTTTTTTACTTTGTAACCACAAGTAGCTGCCAGCTGACATAAGTGCTGCAGAGCAGGATGTGTCTGGCTTGATATTTAGTTAAGCTGCAAAATGCTAAATTTGATGTCTAGAATAAGGTTATGCAAGGGGTGGGAAGGTGCATCAGGGAAGCATATAGGGGAACAATGGGGGCTTTCATAATAATCATGATGTATTCCTTAAGTTGTGATGTATTTCTGAAAGTCAAAAACAGAAACCAATAATAAAGGTGTTAATGTAACCCTGGCAAGAAAAAACTCCGTTTAAGTATAAATAAAGATGCCTGAGCTTTCAAAGCCACTTGAGTGCAACCCACTTGGTGGTCAGAAGTTTTCCTTGCATCAATGCCCCTTCCCCGTCTCAGGACCTGAACCCAAGTTGAGGCTGGACCCTGGCACCTGACAATCCACATTATATAGGTTCTAACTTAACTGAACAATTGTACTATAAAGGATTATTAAAACTTAAGTTATTATCCTGATTCTGTACCCATCATTTGCCAGTTTTATAACCACGTATCTCAATTTTAAAAATATTAATATATTTTAAAAAATCTGTCAAGAGTCTCTAGGTCCATTTTCTTCATATTTTCAATACAAGTATGACTTCCCAAGCTTATGGTCACTTAACAGTTTTTTTTTATTAATTTCATTATTTGAAAATTTCATGCTTATACTATAAAATATTCTGATTTCCTCCCTCTCTCCCTCCTCACCTTCTACTTCTCCCTCCCATCACTACCACCCACTCACCCAACCCCACTAATGTCTTTCCTAGGTTCATGATTTTCAATTTTGTTTTGTGACCTATCTAGCTTAAACAAGGTTATTCTTGTCACCAGTGGATTAGAACTACTCACTGCAGCCTGGTAAAGGCAACAATACCCCCTCTTCTGCATCTATCAGTAACAAATTGTTCAGCAGTGAGAGGCTGGGATCTCTGAGTCCCTCCTCCATCCATGCTTGACTGATGACAGGCTCATTCATACACAAACCCCTTGCAGGCACCTGCAGCTGCTATGAATTTGTCTTGTCCAGAAAATGGTATTTTGCGGCCTTTCTTTCTATCTGCTGGTTTTTATAGTCTTATCACCCCTTTTCCTACAATTTTCCCTGAGCTGTAGAGGGAGACAATAAACATCTTCCATTAGTATTCTGTGCAGCCATGTATCTGCACTGACCACTAGTCATTGAGAGTAGACTCTTCTCTTACTAGTACTGCAGACTACATCAAAAACCCATGGTGGTGGGGATCACAGTCCCTAGTGGAGAACTGGATTTTATTATTTAGATAAACTGACACAGCATTTAATTGTCTTCTAAATATTTATGTTTATACCCCCAAAGTCTTATACAATTGAAGCATATTTAATAACACTAATCTATTCCTAAGTGAAATTAATACTTTATCAGACTTAAACTAACAATATATACCATTATTTTCCTAAAACAGGTTGTCAAATTTAAGGGAATATTGATAACTACTTCAGGCAGATGTAGGATCTCTATTACAACTACTCAACTGTGTTACTGTTGAGTAAAATATATATCCAACTCCAAACAGGGATGACTACATACCACCAAATTTATTCATAAAATATAGGTAACTGGGCTGGGGAGATAGCTCAGTCAATTCAGTGCCTGATGCATAAGTACAAGGATCTGAGGTGGGGTATTGAGAACCCAGGTAAAAAGCTGGGCATGAAACATATCAACTAGGAAGTTAACTGTAAAAAAAAGCAATTGAAAAGAGTTTAAATAGAATTATCCTACATATGTGGACAGTGCCGGGCCTGCCCATGGCATACCTCCCTATGAGTTATTGGTCAGAGGGGTCCTAGAGATCTATAAAACAATACGAGACATTGCTGTTGCCCTTGATTACCCACCACAACTAAATGATGTCACTCTACTGCTGAAGACACTGTACACACTGGCTGCAGGATATAGAGAAATCAAATTCAAACTGTCCAGGAAGCTTCTTCCTTGGCAGTGAGCTTCCATAGTGTGAAGATGCTATGCAAGAGGCTGGGCAAGAAAAGACATGAATGGTCACACCCAGCTCTGAACCATACATATCACAATACAACCTATCAAACAAAACATGCTAGTTTGTGCAACAGTGGCATTACTGTTAGAGGATAACTAAATGCTTACTGATTGGATCTGAAGCCTGCTCTACAAGAGGAAATTTCATGCCCTGTACTATAATCTAGTCAAAAGACCATGAGTAGTATCTGCGATTATTATTTTACTTAATGGTCTTGCTATCAAATTATCATCTAAATCTTTATGTTTATACCTATAATCTAGGCTGCTCTACAACTTGATGAGAGAAGCCTCTTTTTGCAGTGGATAGCAGTCAATGGAAGGATGCACAATTGGTCCAAGTGCTGATGAGAGACTAAGTACTCAGCCCTAAATGAAATACCAACTCCCCTCTTCCCAGTTCATGGAATATCACTGAAGAGAAGACAGACAGAATCTAAGAGTCAGCTGGGGGTGGGGAGTTGTATAAAATACTACCTTCTAGACATGACATGGCTACCACACTCATGAACTCAAGCAGCTGTGGTTACTGCACAGAATCAAACCAGCCAAAACTCTGGCATAGATGGGTAGATGGCATCCAGGTATTACTCCTTACTGAGCAGCTATGAGCATTTGTTAAGTTTCTGAAGGACAGAGAATCATTCTTTCTTGAGGATGTAGCCCTTGATAGGATTCCAATGCCCCATATGTATGCACATATGGGCAACAATAATTGGACTAAGGGGGTTATTTAAAATTTTTTTTTTTTTAAAAAGGACATGTAATGGGAAGGGGGCATGTTAGAGTGGATATAGATGGAGTTGAAGGAGGAAAATAGGGGTTATGTATGATCATATTTCATTGTATATGACTCGAATTATCAAGAATGGGGATAAAAAGAAAAAAGCTGGGAATAGGAGCTCTGTAGCTTTATGGGTAGAAGTCGGCAGTTAAGAGGTAGATCCCTAAAACTCACTGGCTGGACAGTCTAGCTAAATCAATGAGCTTCAGGATTAGTCAGAGACCTCAAAAAGTAAAGGTGGAAGGCTAGAGAGATAGCTCAGCAGTTAGAGTTCATACCACTCTTGCAGTTTGATTCTCAGCACCCAGATCAAGGAACTTACAACCATTTGAAACTCTAGTTTTAGAGGATTAGGTTGGTCTTTATAGACACCTGCATTCACACGCACATACCCCACAGATATCTTAAAAAAGACAGAAAGTAACTGAGGAAAGATGCCGGATGTGGGTCTTGGGAATCTAACTCAGATTAACTCTGATTGTCAGGCCTACCAGCAAACACCTTTACCCACTGAACCATCCACAAGCCTCTACCACAATTTAAAGTTCATTTCATCTTAACTGTCATGTTACTTTAAAGCCGTAAACAAATGTTAACATTACATTAGGGCCATCAATTTCTTTGTGTGGAATAAAACCATTTTTAATCCTTTCCAAGATAACTGAATAAATAGATAAATAAATAAAATTCACACTAGAAAAAAAGTTTTGACTACATGGCCCCCAAACACCTTTTTACTTTTAATAGGCTCTCATGATATAACCTGGGGGCCTGAAATTTGCTATGTAGACCAGGCTGGCATTGAACTTGCAGCAATTCTGCTTTTGCCTTCCAAATGCAGAGATTATGTGAATGAGCCACCAAATCTGACTTTGTTACCATTTTTATAAAATAAAACAAATCCTGTTTTTCCACATGACTTCTAAATTGGGCCAAAGAGTTGTCCTGATAAGTATCTTTGATTTCTCTATTTTACTTTAACTGGACTTCAACAATAAAGACCTACTTGTTGAGGCTAGTAACAGAATTCTATCAATACTAAAATCATTCTTTTTCCAGTTTCAACTCTCCTTACACTGTTTCATATATGGAAGAAGAATGTAAAAATTAGTCAAAGTATTGTTAATAACCCCAACTCTTAAAACTTTCATCTTTCACAAAAGATTAAGTACCTGATAACAGTATTTGTATTTTAATCAGTCAGTCAAAAGAATGAGAAATAGCAATGAAAAAAGGCACATTCTGAGTATGAAAATGAAAGAATGACTAAAACCATGGATGTTGTGTTGGTATTCTTAGAACCTTAGCACACTGGTTCTATATCTATAAGCACAGGAATCACTGGAGTACTAGTTTCCACCACACTTGTTGGCCTCTAACCTAGACTTTGTAATCAAGTCACACTTTCATGAGAATTTGATGATTTAAAAAATAGGAATTTGAGAGTAGAGTCTGGAATGATTATACTCCCTGTACTTGGGGGCTGAATAAGAGGACTGTTTGAGTAGGGGATGTTGACATCAGTTAAGGAAACTCCTGTTTTTAAAAAAGTCCAAAAATAAAGAGGCTTTGTATATTGCCTTGTATTCTTGATACATGTGTGTGAAATACCTGGAAGGCTTATACATCAGATCACTGGGCAATAAGCCACTGTGCATGAATCAGTAACTTCACTTCTACAAGTGTACAGTATACTCTTCTCCTGGGCTGGAAATTGTACTCTTAAAACCACTGCCTTGGAAGAAGGGTGATAATATAACACAGGAACCTTGGACTGTCTGCCTTAGCACATGGCTCCAGAAAACTACTATAAATACTAAAACAGTTGGCAAATAAGGTAAAAGTTATTACTGTCTACATTCTACAAACTTGCTCTTTGTTTGTCTAATGTAATAGTTAATTTTTTCAACTTGAAGGATTTGGAGTTGAGGGAAACAAAACTCTAGGCAAATGTCACATAACTTGAAAACATAGTAAGAAATTTAAACCTTCAATGTAATTATTTCCATTTCTGCTTTGTGTGTATTTCAGAGTGAGTTATAGTATTTACTTTTAGAAAGGGCATGGTAAACACTCATGCCTTACAAAGGTGGCTCAGTCTCTTTTGGTAGATCTTACAGACCTGCTGAAGGCTTAACACTGATTATCTCCACTCCTTCCGGTAGATCCATCTCCTTGCTGTACACCATTTCAGAGAACAGGGACAGCCTGCTGGTGCTCTGGAGATTGGCCCTGCAAGCCTGGAATCTCTGTGAAAACGGAGACAGAATTTTCTCTGGAGAAGAGGAATAATGCTCTTCTGGTAGCCAAACAGCTTCTGATAGTTTTGTGTCTGCTCTTTCATCTGTAAAACAAAAAACCAGAACCAAAAACTGGGAGGGAACTCTCTATGAGTAGGTATTGTAATTACTACTTTTTAATACATAGCTGAAATATAAAACTGTAGATACTCTACACAGAAAGAAAGTAAAAGTCATTTTACTTTTGGTATTCTAACTACTATAATTATCACCAGTATATAAGAATGGTTTCAAAAACTAATTCTAAACAATGGAAAAGGAGACACTGGTTTAAGAAAGGATAATAGGAGGAGAAAGAGGAAGAGGGGAAAGGGAAGATATGATCAAGGAACTATGAACATCTATAAAAAGCTAATAAACTCATTATTTTATAGAATTAATATATAATCTTAACAATAGTATTTACAAGAATAAACACGGTTTTACAAAACCATTTTTCAATTAAATGTATGTAGGATTTTATGAACTATGTAGTAAAGTAAAAGAAAAAAACTCTAAAGTTTCAAATTGTATATGTATATTTTGTTAAAATGTAGGTCTACTTGAATGTAAAAACAAAAACAACAACAAAACAAAGCAGACTTACCCAGTGAGACAGGAATGGACCTTAAGTGTAAATCCCACATACGTAACAGTGAACGGTTGTCTTGAGTGCACTCTATAACAACCAGGTAGAACTTTTCAGAAAATCTATGAGGTGAATTGCCTGTTGACATCAGGAATATTTTTCATTAACACAGACAGATGAGATAGTATACCAAATATACCAAGTTAAAGCAGCTTTTTCCTTTCTTGGAGAGAGAAACTTAAAAAAATACAAAGCAGCATTACAGAATGTATTCAATGGTGTTAGCACATGACTTTGCATTATCTTGAAATTTTAATTATATGCATGCTGTCTGTAATTTCATTTTCAAAGTCTAAATTTTAAGTGTTGAATTTGAACATTTTAACCTTAAAAGGTCCTATTATAGTTATTAACACTGAACTGTTCACAATGAGATCCTAGTAAGTAGGACATTGCTAAAGAGATGGAAACTATGTAACACAGTACTTTAGGCCAATATATCACAATGAAATTGTGTTATTAAAAACCTTCCAAGGTAGCTGGATGGTAGCCCATGCCTTTGATCCCAGCACTTGGGAGGCAGGGGCAGGTGGATCTCTGTGAGTTCAAGGCCAGCCTGGTCTACAGAGTGAGTTCCAGGACAGCCAAGGCTACACAGAGAAACTCCTGTCCAGGGCAGGGGAGGACGACAACATGCAGACCTTCCAAGGTTAGTTCCATATAAAAATGTGAAGTCTTTATAAGAAAACAGAGTCAAGAAAAAACTTCCCTTTATGTGTGTGTGTCTCACACATACAAACACACACACAGACACACACGGGGGAGAGGGGTGGAGCGGGGAGACAGACTGACTGTTTGACCTACCAACTTTGCTAGTCCTAGATGACAAGAGTTCAGATGTGCTAGCAGATAACTATAATCTCAGTACCTTCATTGAGATAAGAGTTCAGATGTGCTAGCAGATAACTATAATCTCAGTACCTTTATTGAGATAAGAGGCAGATGTGCTAGCAGATAACTATAATCTCAGTACCTTTATTGAGATAAGAGGCAGATGTGCTAGCAGGTAACTATAATCTCAGTACCTTCATTGAGATAAGAGGCAGATGTGCTAGCAGATAACTATAATCTCAGCACCTTCATTGTGATAAGAGGCAGATGT